TAGGAGTGGTATTGTAGGTAGATTTCCATAAGGAACCTTTTTTTTTTTTTTTCCTGGAAGGCATTACACCATCCCTTCCTTACCTGCAATTTTGCCTGTCCAGAAGTACACAGCTGTAATAAAATCATTTAGAACTTTAATTTCCTTATCTAAAAATGATTATGTTGACCATTTCTGGATTGAAGTTGTATGCATTAATAGGATCACAACCTGTGATTCACCCTGCAGTAAATATGCGGCTACCTACACTCCAGCTGTCTGCAAATACCATGGTCTGGGAAGTTTCTTGGTCAGTATCTCTTTTCTACTAATTCTTTATGGTTCCTTTTCTCCAATATAATGGCATAAATCCAAGCATTTTTCCACTCATAAATTTGCTCCATAAAGATTCCACACGTTTACATTTGAAGCTGTGAAATGAAGATGAATTTGCAACTAGGGAGTAATTAGTGAGTCCCTGCATATAAAATAATTCAGTATTTTATATTCTAAATGAATCATTGATTTTTTTTTTCCATGTTACTTATTAGACATACTCACTAATGCTTTTGTGGGTCTGAATAAAGTAAATCATTTAAATTTTCACAAAATTTAAATATGACATAGGCAAAACAGATTAGTGTGATAGGCAATTTTGGAAGCCAACTGTTTGCTCATGGAGGCAACTATTTATGGTATCTTAAAATTATAGATGATAAGCTGCACAAATATTTCTCTTGGATAATGTTAACAGTCTTCAGTGCCAGGTCACTTTTCCCACCAAATCAGCCTTTACTACCTCAAAATTTATTAGTAAAAACGAAGTTTTCATAATCAGTGAAAATCCCAGAAATCTTGTGAGTCAGTGGCAATGTTTGAGAGCACTGGGTTTGGGCAAACAGAGCACCTACCTTCTATTACATGGGGAGAAGGAAGTCAGAGTCTGACTCTTGCCCTCTCCTAAGTACTAGGATAAATTATTAACCAATCAAACAGTCTGACAGCAGCTAGAAGATACTAAGGTGATCAGAACAGTCAAAACAGATTTGTTCAGTGCAGATCAGTGTGACTTCTTTCACTGTCAGGGAGAAAGCTGAGTGGATGAAAAGAAAATGAAAAACATGATAGATTTTGACTTCAGCAAGCCTTTTGACACAGCTCCACATGACATTTTGTTTTTGTGCATATGATTTTTTTCTTTCTCAAAGTACAGCACTGCATACCTTTCATTGCTGAATTTCATCTCACCAATTTCAGGCCACAAACCCTGTTTTTTAGGCCTTCTATAGTTATTGCAAACATTTTTGAGTTTTTCAACTTTGGTGAGCTTGGATGAAGCAGGTGATTATAAAAGGCTGTCTGTTACCTCACCCATGTTACTAATGAGGTTTAGGACTAATTGACCCAGGACAGATCTCACTAGATATTTCTTTGTATGACAGTGAAGTGTTGATAGCTACCACTCTAAAGATAGTTTTGCAGTTAACTGAGCATCCACACTATTATGATTTCATACAGTCCACACCTACTGTACCTGATATTCTCTGATCTCAACATGAGGGACTTTTTCATAAAATATGTAGTTACACTGGGAAATTCACTGCCTTAGGATGCCATGGGTTCTAAAAGTTGAAAAGTAACTAGACACATGCAAAGAAAAAAATCCATCAAGATTATTAAGACTGAGATATTATCTTCTAATTCTAATTCTGGTACTCATTGTGCAGCAGATTGTCAGGGTCAGGAGAGGCCAGGGGAGCAAAGGGGGAAATGCCAAGTTTGCCCCATTCCTGCATTGTCCTCTACTTACACAGTATTGGGGATTATGGGTAGATGAAGGCTGATTCTGATCTAGTGCAATAATGTCACACAGGACTACATAACAATTCTCACTAAAAATCACATTATGAGAAGGCTTCCTAAGAACCCTCAAGATGAAACTATTCACAACTTTTTTTTTTCTTTTTTTTTTTCACTCACCACAAACTAACTGACTGTTATTGGAAGGTATTTCTTCCTACACTGACACCAGTGTAGCAACAGAGTTTCAGTGGAGACAAATTGCATTACCTTTTGCATATGATGGAGGAAATCAGTTGGGGATGAGGACACTTACTGATGTGTCTGGGATACCCTTGTCTTAAGATGTGTTATTTTCTGAGGAAGAAATTCCTTCTTGTATGTTAAGATCTATTAACATTAAAGCAAACTGAGAAAAGGTTGAATGCCCCTTTCTCATGACATCCCAGAGTAGAACATTATCTCCCTCAATTTATGCTAGTTGTCTTGACCTCTCTGTGATATGGCAAAGAATTTCCTATGTTCTTCTGTGTTCTACTACTGAATTATGTTTTAACTCATTCCAGGCTTTGCACGGCTTTTCTCCATCAGAGGCTTTGGAAGGCACATTAGTAAAAACTTATGCAACACCTTATGGGAAATGCTTAAGGCATAATCTTCTCTACGTAGTCATAGCTAGTCTCTTTCTATGAGCATTACATAAAGACCAAATGTGGTGCCACAGATGGCAAAAATGGGAACAGGATGCTTAATCTGAGTAAGATTCCTTTTATTTTATGGTGGTTTAGGGAATCTTCTCACAAATTTTGTTCTATCTCTATCAGCCTATTACCACATGGAAGAAAGACTGGCAAACTGTTATTTCTGTCCATTAGGAATAGGACAACAAAATTAAACTAACCTCAGTTACTGAAAAATACAAAAAGAGGCACAGTAACCACTCTTACCAAAGTTTAGCTAAGTTTGTAGAATTTAAAAAACAGACTTCTAATAAGCAAGCATTTACCAGGGAATGTTTTAATGATATTGTATCCTGCTTCAAAGCATGATGTCAAGCTAGATGTCTTCCCTCTGTGACATGTCTCCCAGCTGGAAATCTATTCAATATTTCGCTCCATCTATTTCTTTAGCATTTACTCAGGGCTCATCAATGGATGAACCCCAATTATTCTACTAAAGTTCAGAGTTTTTGCACATGACCATTTAACATACCAAAAAAAATAATTAAATATTACCATTACTGATAGAAGGAGTATTTACTGAAACCCTGGCAAGCACAATAAAAATATACAAGGAATATTAATGTCTCCTCACTTTCTTCTACTTCTTCCATTTTTCCCTCTGAGCAATGTCGTTCAGACATACACATCTGACTCCATATTTAACACTGTTAAATATATATATACATATATATTTAAACAGCAAAAATTGCAGCTGAGAAATTGGAAGTGGAAGGAAATTTCCCATCCTTAGTTCTAGGCATGGAAGAAGTTTAGAGGAACTTATAGAAATATGAAGCTGTAAAACTTTCAGTTGAAAAAATGAATTCATAATATTGTTCCTTTAAGCAGCAGCAATGAAAGATTACTGAAATATGAAGATTACTGAAATAAAATTAAGGCTTTTCTCTTGAACTGAAAGAGCAAATTTGAAGGGGGTGGGGTATTAGTACATCAGCATTTCCAGTGACACAGAAAGTAGACTGAACAGAAAAAAATAAATATTCTCTTCTCATGCATAAAAAGGTTACCACACATACCAAGGAACCACACAACCATACAACCACCTCATTATGTATGAACAGAGTGCTCTGAATAAGCTCCACAAACTGATAGCACAGAAGGTACTGAAGACAACAGACCCTATTTATATATCATGGAATTATCATGGCTTTAATATCATGGAATCATGTCTGTGTAATTTTCATCTGTTTCCACAAAAGAGGTGTATTCTTCACTTAAATTACTGTAAGAAAGAAGTGTTTCTGGATTATGCAAAAAAGACATTGTAAGAGGTAGGGCTTTCCATATTTAACTATTTCCCCAAATTAAAAAAAAAAAAAAAAAAAAGTAGAAAGTAGATGGCTTATCCAAAAGCAGATTGCTGGAAATTTACAAAGATCAGAATAAAAAGATATTTGTGACCTTTTAGGTTTCTTATGTCCCAGACTATAAGAAAATGAATTTGATAGCTGGACTTAGTTTAACATTTTACAGGTCATAAGCAGCTGCTCTACCACTGAAAAGTATTTTTGCTGAAGCCATTCTTCTGACATTTAAAAATGCTTGTTTGCTGTGTCCAGTATTTTGCAAATACACTTGGTGTAGAATATATAAAGATATGAAAAAAGTTCTAGCAAGGAATTAAAAGAGTACTTGCTTATTTGAAACTTTCTATTCCAAAGACCTGTTCATTGTTTCTTATATACTGCAGTGCAAACAGAAATGAATTTCCTTTAGCAATCAGTGGTGTAGTCACCTACTGAATTTAAATTGTTTGTTTAACCTATACTTTATCCTAATCAACTTCTACATGGGAAAGAAAAGAAAAAAGAAAAAAAAAAAGAATGTGAATGGATATTTTTCTGTACCTTTTGTAACATCCTCTTCTATGTTCAGCACATAGTAAATGTACATTACCTACAGAGCTCATGTATTATGAAAGGATGCCTGCTTGCCCTCAGTGAATGAGACAGCAGAATGTAACACCACAAGGGACAATTTTGTTGTAGTGTGATGGCTTTTCCAATGAGCCAGGTGACAAACATTTACTCCCATGTTTTAAATGGCTGAAAAATTTCCCACACTGTTCATAAATTGTTATAGAATAAGCGGCATTAGAACATGTTGAACAGACATCTGTTTCTGCAGTCCACACTCAATGCCCCTTCCTGTACTATGCCCAAACCATCACCAGCAACACTGCCTCCTTCCGAGCAAGTACATGGGAAGACTCTAAGATAAACTGCTACAATAGCCACTCTAGCAGGTAATTTATGAGCTATCACCTACGGTTCTTTGGGCCTTGCTTTTACAGCCTTCCTCCTCCTTATTCTTACAAAGCACAACTGGGTTTAGGGTTAACCCAAGAAATAATATATATTTTCAGTTACTACACTAAAACTTCAAAATACCACTTTGTTTATTTTCAACCTGTATAAGGAAATAAAATCAGTCATTTAAATATTAAGCACATTAATTGACTTCTATAACCACACTTACAGAAAAAACAGCAGCCAAAGTCTCGACAGCACCAGTGCTTAGAGTAACATATGGAATTGTTTCAGGATTGATCCCAGCTTCTCCAAAGATGTTGTTTGTGTAGTACCAGATCTATATCAGAGAGAAGAGAAAGAGATATTAATCATTGTGGCTTGAACTACAAGCTATTAGCATTCAGTTCAAGCATCTCTTCTGCCGGAGACCAGACTTGTTAAAATACGGAGCACTACTGAATGATTGAGGGCTGGCCAGGATGACAAATGAAGGGAAAGTGCAAATTTCAGGTGGATTAGTCACAACACTGTTACACTTCTGCTTGGAGACTCAGACAGAATTACAAGTAGCTTTAACTCAATTTGCCTTAATTCACTTCAGGAGTAAATCAAAGAAACTCACTTTAACTCACTTTGAACAATAGGATACAAAAAGGTTTCATGTGGCTGAGCCACACCACCTAAAAAATAAATTTGGGTGGCATTACAGAACTCTTTATTGGCATGCAACAATGGAGGCCAGAACAGAAAACAAACAAACAAACAACAACAAAAAACAAAACAAAACAAAACAAACAAAAAAAACAAAAAACAAAACAAAAGAAAAAGAGAGAGAGAGAGAGAGTGAGGGGCACCACATAAACCTTCTTTCTGGACAGAAGGTGTGAGATTTATCTTTAACTTCACTGCAACATGGACATCTGCAGTTAAGTAATCACTGTAATCTTTCTTTATTATCAACAGAGAGGAAAGATACCTTTAGACTGAGAGTCATTTGGTGAACAGTAAACAACAGCTTTTAGGATGAAATGAACAGGCTAGAAGGACCCGTCATTAACAGACAGAAACACATGCATGCCAACTTAAAGAAGGACATTCATGTTTGGTCAATAAAACCACATCCAGTGGCAATGTCCAGAGAGAATATATATCTAGTGGTAATACTTCAAAATAAAAAGTCTGGTAAGTATCGCAGACCCATTCACATCAAAAAATGTTCAAACCATATAATATTTATGCTGGGCTTGATGTTACAACAAAGAACTAGCCAAAAAATGTGGCTGCCAAATCCATGCAAGCAAGGAGGGACTGACTTTGAGAGAGAAAAGATAACAGATTCACTGGAGGGGATGAAGAACAATTGATACAATTGATTGTCAGGAAAAAAAAAACAAACTGAAATTGTAACACATAGCTGATTATCTGTGATAACAAAATTGAAAGCCAGAGCTAACGCATGGCAGATATAGTAATGACACTAAGCATAAAAACAGCAGTGATATTTTTTCCATATGCTGTCCACGTGACAAGACTTAACAGGGCAAGCACTGCTAAAGAAAAGGCTTTTCTGATGAATGAAAGTGTTTTTATCGCAAGAGGAAAACCCTGCTGTCTGCCAACATATTATGCACATGCTACACCTGTTTTGGTAGCTTTGTTAAAAAATCAGTAATTCTAAATTCCCAACTAATCCTACAGTGAAGCTGTTTGTCCTGGGCCAAAGGAAAAAATCAATTTTATCTTACATTAAACAAAAGCAAAATGAAATACCAAGGACTGAAAACTCACTTATACCACCTTTCAGATAAGGGGAAGCTGACTTAAGAATGTTATGCCCACTGCTGCTACATCAGCTGGCACCAAAACAGATGTTTCACCAGTGATAGCAGCAAGTTTTGCTATATGAAGTAGTCTGCCTTCCATGTCACCTGTGCTGGTGTTAATTGCACATTTCTTTGGCTTGCTGAAACAGAGTGCAGACTGAAACAAAACAAAGTATCAGCTCCAATTCCCTCTGAAGTGTTTGTGACCCCTAACAAAAAATTTGGGACCCGTTACTCCGACATCCTTTTCACCTCTCCTAATCTGCCTATCCAGTGATTACAAGGAAAACAAGGTAGCACAAAAATGTCATTTTTCCACATACTACAAGAGTACAAGTTAGCAAGATTGTTAAATTTAAAAATAAATAAATAAATAAATAAATAAAAATAATAGAAATTATGTAAGACATTTGGTTCTCTTTATCAGTTTCGCATAGTAGGTAGAACTTCTAGAAAATAATGGCAATATTGCAGGTATACAGATCTTGAAAAAGAACAAGGAAAAAAAATGATGCTAAAGAGTTACTTAATCAGGCAACTACAGAATTCATTTGCCAAAAGATAACAACTAGAACTCAAAAAGTTTCACAAGTGGCTTTACAGAGGAAAATGACTGATCATTGATCTTAAGAGTAGTAGTAAAACAGGTAGATTAAAAAACTGTCACAGTGAAGACAGGATGAGGTTCTGAGTTGCATTTATTAGCATCTGTAACAGCACAAAAACAAATCAGGGTAAAAATTAACAAGATGTACGTGTTTAAAAACAATAAAAGTGAACATTTTTCAGCCTGTGTATCATTAAACAGGTAAATACATTGCTCTAGGACATTACTGAGAGAAATTTACTAGACTAACGATGACTTTCACTTCAGTTCTTTTTTAACATGGCTTTTGTTAATGAATTGTTTGGGCTAAATATTTTGGAATGAAAGAGCTGTTGAAAATGAGGCAGAAGGTACCAAACCCCAGAAACAACTCTGGTGTCTAGTCCAAATCAATACAGGAACATCTGACTTCTTATGATGGGTTTCTGTTGCTTCACAGGCTGAAGCAACACTTCACCATAGCAGCCAGCTAAATGCCATGAGGAAACAGCTACATCTCTGCAGTCTGAATTCTATGAGTTTGGAGACATTTCAGCATTCCTGTAGCTGCATGAAAGTTGTCTTTGCTTACCATAAGCTTTTACTCCTACAACCTCTTAGCTTAAAGTGGCATGTGTTATACCACCATCAGTGGTGGTCCCAAACTTCTTCACACCAGGGACCTCTCTAGCACTCACTCCATTTTCCAGTCTTTATTTCTCATCCAGCTCCCTACACACATTCCTTCCTGAGGACTTCAACTCTTCCCTTCAAAAAGGGAAAAGAAAGCACTGAAAAAAAGATGGGCAACAACACATGCATATGATGTTGCATGCTGTATGCATACTGCATACTGATCCCATCCTACAACTACTTGATGCCAGGTCTTCTCTAAAGCAAGCTTGAATATCACACTATGGTGTTTTTTTTTGCATACAAAAATACACATTTCTAAATGAACCCCCATCCCCAGCATGATTTCTTGCCACTGGAAATACAGAACCTTGACTAAAGAAGCTACGTACCACAAATAAACTTTATCAGATGAAAATAGACTGATATGGATTCATTTCCTTTTTTCAATTTAGGTCAGACTGTCTGGTATTCCATTATAATTGAATAGATTAATATGATCAGGGCTTCACCTTTATTTCTGTTCCATGTAGAAACTGATGAATGTACTGTTTTTAAACAAAACATTTTTTCTTCATTACAAACTAAAACCTTAAAATGAAAGCAAGTGTTCTCAGATATCAGCAGGATGATTACAGAAGTCTGCCATTTGGTAATTTCCCTTGAGAGTGACCTGAGACTCTCCCCTGAAAGAGGTCCAACTTTCCCATATGCCCTACCCAGATGGCAGTTGTTGAAAAGACCAGACTGACTAACCGGGCACTATAGACAAAGAGAAGGATGAGAGCTATGACTTAAGAGATGCTTCTACAGCCAGTTAAACCTTGCTGACAGTGACTCACACCCAGCAGGAGACTTAGACACAGCCAGACAAACTGAGAACTGGGTTCAGCAGTTAACTGTCACATCTGTACCTGTCCTTTAATTTCTGAGCCTCAGGTGACTTATCAAGGTCAGCCTCAACAGCCAAGCAGAAGAGACAAGGAACTGAAACCTGAACTTGAACTCTTAACGAAGTAGCACGACTGCTTCTCTTTGATCGCATTCATTATTTGCTTTTTTTTTTTTTTTTTTTTTTTCTGGATAAACAAGTTAAAAGTGGCATTATACAGTTGGAGAAACAAAGTAAAAATAATAACAATAAAATGATAAGGCTTGAAATAACCAACTTGACATCCAGGTTTCCTGACAGTTTTTCTGAGGGTTGATCTCAGAAAACAACCCCCTAATGATGCTTTAAAACAACTTCTGCATTCATTTCGGTCTGTACATGTCTTACCCCCTCACATACACACTCACTCAATCTATGAGAGTGTGGTGTGTGGTTCTGCTCTGCCAAAGAATACCAGACAATTTCTGTCATTTATTAAATATTCTCAAAGCCACAAAACTCCTCTCTCCCCTTAAGATTTAGCTGTTGCCTTTTTTTTTTTTTTTTTTCCTTTAGGAAATGTGCTTCATTGTTTGAACAGTTTGTTTCTTACTGTAAGTGTCATTTCATTTCACTTATACACTGATAAACCTTAGAAAGAGTAGATGACAGATAATTACAGTTCTCTTCTCCAAAAGTATCCACAATGAGCAATAAAATAGCTTGTCATTAGCACTGAAATTCATGGTTAAAAAAATCTATATACATGTTTTTACAGTTCACCCCACAGAGTGGAAAATCTTCTTCCTCCTAGTACTTTTTAAAATATCTTTTTGATACTGGAGTTCTAATCATTCTAGTCCTTCTAATGGTCTTGAAGAAAATATTTTGTATTAAGAGTTTTAAAGCTATACAGACACCTGAGATAATTCTGAACTAGTTAGCTTAGAGATCAGAGGCATTTACACTTATTATCAATGATTATCCCTGTGGGGAAAAAAAAAAATATATATATATATATACAAATATGATAGCTGAATATATGCTAGCTGAAGCATGCTGTAATGCACAAAACCACAGTGCGAAGTTACATTTACAGAGCTGCTTTCAGCAGTGATAATATTGCCTAATATTGCCCAATAAGCAATTAATACCCTTCAACTATGATGAAAAACCTTTTCACTTTGAGATGCTTCATGAGAACATTCACATCATAAAATGTAAAGCATTTAACTCTGATGTCACAAGCTGCAGCAAGGAAAATTCTGCCTCGATATAAAGAAAACACTTTTCACAATGGAAGTGGTGAAAACACCTAGAACAGGTTGTCCAGGGAGGTTGTACTCTCCATCTTTGGAGATCCATAAAAACTCAACTGTACAAAGCCCTAGGTAGCCTGAGCTACATCTGCAGTTAGTCCTGCTTTGGGTGGGGGGTTGGACCAGATGGGCTCCAAAGATCCCATCCAATCTAAACTAGCCCATGGCCCTGTCCTAGCTGATGCTATAGGCTCAAACATCTGAAAATAAGACATTGATATCCATTAGCCTCAGCCACATTTACAGTCAGTTGGATTTATCTCTATTGACTATTATATGTCTGTTCTCTTTTTTTCCTTTCTAAGAAAGGAGATTGTAATGCGGCTTATTCAACAACGACAAAATCAACCACCCAGTGCAACTTCTTAAAACTGTTAACAGACATTTTCTCTGAGTTTGTAAGTTCAGAACTGAATTATTCCAAGTAGAAATATCTACCAAAAGGACAAACCTTCCCAACCATGAACAAAAAAATATCAGAAACAGAAGCTGCAGCTGCATACCTTTTTTTTTTTTTCCTAATCCACACTATCTTTTTCATCAACTTTGATGCAACAATGCCTTTCTTTTCTTAATTAAACAAACAAACTCGATACTTCATTCTGCAGGCCTTCCCACATGCTGCTGTAACAAAACCATACTAATAAGGAACGTCCCAAAATGGAAAGATATAGAGGTTGCTTTATGGTATAGTATAATCATTGTATTAAAAAGAAAGACAGAAACACCCCAGAAGATGCCATGTGGCCTGAAGAAAGACACTTACAGCATTTAGCCCACAGAGCTGGTAGCAGCCCATGGTGACAACCACAGTAATGACCTGCCATCGCACAGAACGGGTTTTCAGGAGCTGTAGTACCGACACCAATTTGGTGTTTCTTTGGACTCGACTCTCTGCCAAAACTTCTTCTACTTCATGAGACACGTCATCTTTCCCAAGAAAGGTCTGAAATGCTACAAACAGAGAATGTAGTTTAGGCCAGACATTCAGTGCTTATAACAGAATAGTTTCAAAGAAACTGAAGTGCATGAGACAAACAGGAGACATACATGGGATCCAACTTAATTATTCTTTTGCCAAAAATATGACTCCATTTTGGGTATGATTTGATTCATTTGAAGCTGCAAGAATATACATTTTTTTGGCACCCTACTAGACTTCTCCTTATATTATTTTATATACACACACACACACACACACACACACATATATATATATATATTACAGTGTAAGGTCCAGCACAGAGTCAAAGCCTTGTGTAAACAGGAAAAAAAAAAAAAGTTTAATAGCAAAACAATTCTTAACATTATTTGACATGGCTACTTTTGCAAAACAAATTATAGAGCAGATTTTATTGCTGAAGATAGACTGGATAGAGTAGTAATAATATGTAAGAATCTGGCAAGTCTGTTAAAACAAACAAACAAAAAAACAAACAGAAAAAAAAAAGCAGGCATTTGAAAGGAATAGCTACAAACCTTCATATTATCTCATTTTTAATAGTACATAGACAAGAATTAATTTCTTCAATGTATTTAGTATTAGAAAGATTTATCCAAAGCAGCTCAAGACTTTCTATTTGACAACAAGAGACATGGGAGTTTACCTGGTAAACATAACCAAGCAACCCTGTCTTTCCATCTCACACCTCCTCCAAAAGGTGCTGCAAGTGAATACCTCTTAATGGAGGTGGTGTTTCTCCATCAATCCTGTTTTACTGACAAAGTATAAATCAATGATATTTTCATCACAATTTTATGAATGTACCTCAGGGGCTGGCTTTTTAAGTGATATTTAAAATGCTCATCATCTTAGACTGACTGCAGAGAAACAATTACATTAAATAAACCCTTGCAACAAGCCTTTGTGACCCAGTAGGACGCTAAGTCAAAAAACAATCCTTTACACAGCAGGTCACTTAAAGATGTTTCTTCTAAAGGAAATAATGAGTTATTTTTATTAAGCGAATAAATTGACTTATTTATCATAACAGCCAAATCCATTTCTGTCTTATCCACTGCTTTGCACATAAATAAATAATCTTCATATTTTTCATTAAGTTTCCATTCTTTTGGATCACAGAAAGGATGTGGATAGTCAAGGAAGCCAAATACACTTACTAGTCAAGGCTAAAACACCTGGATTCAGGCTTTGAAGGTTTTTTTGTTTTTGTTTTTGTTTTTTTTTGCCCAGCAGGGCAAAAGGCCAAGCAGTGTTGTTTTGATGTTGTGAAGTATAGGCCACATAACGAGCTGATGCTCAACCCAGAGCAGCTTGCTCCATCCCTTTGGTGAATGCACCATGCTGCACACTGCCTGGCTTCCACTTGGGCTGTAAGGGGAACTCAAACTCTGGGCCAAGACTTTCATATGTGGTTAACTTTTCTACTGCATTTTAATAGGCCTTATGTGACTCTGGTTAACAAGAGGCATCGTTTTTTAAGGGATGAATATTCACCACCTCCAGTTGCTGAGTCATTTCATAACATTCATTTATTCTGATATTCATTTCTCTCCTGGGAAATAGAGGTCAGAATTTTTTAAAAAACCCTGAGACAGCATGAGAGCCATCTTTTCACCTAGGCCTTATAATCAGAAATGAGATAACAAATTCAGGCCTCAGAACCAAGAATTTAAGCTGCTGAGTTTTGTACTTGTGTCACTGCCCACTTATTAAATGACATTTCAAAGCACTTGTTAAAATGAGTGTTATGTATTTAAAGGCTATGACAGGAAATGTAAAATTAGAACAATGTATGCCTCCAGTATGTTACAGTTAATGTTTTATGTTTAAATTACACATTTTTCAGTATTATTAGAGCACTAATAAATAAAAAAATAATCAGATAAAGATGAAAATAACAAGGCATATACCACAGTACTCTTCTTTGAAATTATTCTCATATATTTTTAAGCATCTGTTTTATCGGTGTAAATTAGGTCAGTGCACAATTTTCTTTATTTTTCCTGTCCTTAGAATCCTCTGCATTCCTGTAGGGCACACAAGTCAAAAATGTAGGTGCAGTCAAGTAAAAAGGAAGCAATCTGTCTTTTCTGCACAAGGGAGCCTGCTGTATTTCTAGAGGGACCAGGAAGTTAAAAAACAAACAAACAAAAACAATTACCAAAAATTACCGAGTGAAAGGCAAGAAATATATAGACACCTGCTTTTTTTCCTCTCTCCTGGTGTTAAGACCTGCTTTCTTTTCCTACTTCATGGTGTTAGCACCAGAAATGTAAATGCCAACTGGAAACTTTGACAGATACTTAAAATTAACAAGTCAAGAAATGCTAAGAAAATGTTACGCTATTCATGCATAGTTTTCAGTAGACAACACTAAAACTCGGAAACCTGTTTTCCAGCTAAGCACTATATTCAAGTTTATTTCATTAATGCTTTTTCATTATAGTAAGAATCACACTTTTATACATAATTAACATGGCAATGAATTCTGCACTAGCAGGGAGATGGAAAAACTCAAAGGTCTTTTAATTTGTGAAGTTCAATTCTATTTATTTCACATTTTAAACCAATACATTATTGGCACTGAGAATCACAGTTGCTGTTACTATCCCCACTGCAGTAACTCATTTCCCTCCATTATTGTCTGCTTCCTTCTTTAAGGATGCCTTGTTATCATGTCTGTATCCTCCTCATGCATACAACCATCTAAGGAGTTATAGTTCTAACAACTTTAGCAAATTTTCCAGATTTCTTTTTAATTCTCTCGGACCAGAAGGTCCTAGATACTCAGCTGTCAAAGGCTGGTACACTGTCTTTATAAATAGAAAAAGAAGTGGATGGTTCCAGTCAAGGGGAAAGGAGGTAGGAAACCTTTCCATTTACATCCCTAGTTTTTATTCATCTCAGTTAAGATGAAACATTTGGAGGTGGTTCAAAAGTCTGGACAAAATCAATCTGTACCATCTTTAAAACCAACCAGGCCTTTAAATTAACTGAAGCTGGGTATTGAAGAACTCCGCCACGCATGGAATTACTAATTTATTTTTTTTTCCCCGCTGTAGTACTTCCGTGACTGTGCAAAGGAAGCAGTTGTTAGAATTAGTATGCAGACTTTAAGAAGACATTTAAAAGAATCAAAATTCTATTTTGTGGTTTACAGAATAGAGCCAACCTCATGTATAATAAAGCAGAAGCAAAGATAAGTGGTCACAGGTACTAGCTAGGGTAATAACTCATGCTGTTAAAAAAAAAAGTTGTTTGTTTGTTTGTTTGTTTGTTTTTAAAAACAAATACTGTATAAATATTATTGTCATCTGTTTCCCATTCATGTTCACTTCACTGATTATGAAGTACCTTAAACCCAGTGTCTTTAAAATTCTGCTCTGAGTGGTGGAGGACATACAGGGAGTCTCACTGTCTGCCTCAGCATTCGCAGAAAGATAACTTCAGTACTTCTGAATCAGATAAGAAGCAATTTGCTGGTAGTAAATTTACATCATAAAAATATTTGGTAAAATGAAAAAGGAGTGTTTTCACATACCACTGATTTTATTACAGTACTGTATAGCCAGAAGAATAATTTGGATGTACCGTGCTAGAAGAGATTTAAACAGCTATTTAAATGTATCAAAATATTAACTAACTACTAACATGTAACGTAGACAAGTTTAAGAATAAATCTCTATTTTGCTATTCCAATTGAGTAAATATAACTGTAAGCAAAAGGTTTTAGGCTTTTCCCATGTGCCACTTCATTCTTGTAAGTAAAAAAACTCAGAGATCTGTATGTTAGCATCTTGTTTGGGATTACATCTTTACCTGTTCTTACACCTGGTTTCACAGACTATCATAGGCCTATTCAGGTCCACTTGAAACTAGCCAAGGTGTACAGATAAAACCAAATAACAATATGCTACACACAAATAACACAGGAACTGGTAAACTGAGTTGTACCATAGGTCCAGTAAACCAATAAATGTTTCTGAAAGACAGGAGATTTAGGAAAAGCTTACAAACAAGGCAGACACACTGTGATCACTCCAGCTTTTGGCAGTCAGCGACCATCTGACATGGAGCCAGCAAGTTTAGAAGTCATGATTGTCTCTTTCTTTCCAATAAGCATAGCTTATAATGCTTAGAGACATATAAAAAGCACACATAAACAGAAATGAATCATATGTGAACTTTCTGTCAGTATTAACAACTTCACTAAAAGCACTGCATTTACAACAACTTATTCGTGTAGTAACTTTGGTTTCAGTATGGCTCCTATATGTGTGGGCCCTGTGAAGGTCTTAGTAAAAAAATTAACTATTTTCTTTTATAAATCAGAAACAGCTTTGCTCTTCTGTTGCATCAAAAGATATCAACGCTAATACGTCTCTACGAATTTTAAAATCACACTTTGTGTTATACCTGGTGCAATGTTTTTTTCATAACTATGGGAGTTTAAATGTATGGCTGAGCATACCAAATGAACAGATTTTGTACATCATCAACAGATGTTACTGTGATATTATATCTAAGTTATTTGACCGTTAAGATATAACATTGTTATGGTGCTCTGGCAAGCTAGGATGCCAACTGATTTTTGTTATTGGTTTACATGACACGTTACTCTAGCTGTATTGAAAATATTGATTTCCTCTTTGCAGTAGTAGTCTTCAAAAGAAATACATCAGGTGTCCAAATGAAGCTGCCTATAAACAATGCTGTTAGTCAGAAAGCTGTTCCATTTTATTGCAATACTACTAGTGGTTTTATTTGTATTGCATCTTACCTGGTAGCCACAGATACAGACCAGGTATCCATTTGGCGTGCAACAAATAATCAACTAATATCAAATTCCTGTCTCTCTCTCCTAGAGTTTGGATGGTAAACTGCCTGATGTAATCATAGCCACAGATTTCTTTTTCTTCCTGTTTCTGTCGTGTTGCCTTTTATTCCTACTGCTCCCTAGCAATCTAATAACAATTTCCTTCTAGATTCATCTTCCTCATTTGAGTATCTGTTTCTCCTCCACTGCCTGGTGAGCATTATGAAGAAGGATCACACAAGTTAAATGTCAGGCATTTTTTTCTCCCTTCTTTTCTTCCCAAGAGAGGGGAGCTGGGAGGGTAGATGGAATGGCTCTTCCCTCTCTCCATTACCAGACTTATTGAGCAAAGGTGTATAAATTGTGCTGTGGGTCTATTCAGTCATTCTGTCTCACATAGATAAATCAGTTTTCCCACATTCAACAGTCAATCACAAACATGGGATATAGTTCAGTTTGTGTTGGTCTCAGGAAGCCATCATGGGATGGTGACTCCAGAAAGACAAGCAGTGCTTGGCTGTTAGCAGTGCTTTCAGCAGCAAACAACTGCAAGTCAGCCAGTGTCCATATGGTCAATCAGCCAGGCAAGACTTCAGTTCAGCTACCCACATTGTTTGCATGGTTAGAAAGGAGAAAGTAGGGAACTGGGTACCTAGCTGGTATTGCTCAGGAGATATCACTCATCTGAAGACTCCTTACTCCTGAGCTTGTGGAATAGCTTGTCTCATGGTGGTGTGGTCTATGTTCACACACGGCACCAGCCTGTTCTAAACCCATCTCCTCTTTTTCATCACTTTGGTCCTTCTCCCTATTTCAGGCTCTTATTTTCCACTTAAAAGCACTGTGCTCTTTTACATTACTGCCAAAAAAGAGAATGAGGTCACTTGTGTTTTGGTAGCTATAGTCTGGTTATCTCCTGAGGGCAGAAAAAAAGGAAGGGACAAAAGCAGGCACAGAACTCAGTGGAAACTCAATGACCTATATTATCCCATTGGATTTTTATTACTCTAAAATAATTAGGAAGATTAATGTTGTCATCTCTATTTTAGAAGCATTTACTTTTTTTTTTTTTTTAACTTTTAATAGAGTATTTTATAAAAAGACTAATATAGTCATCTGCCTTAAATACAGTAGACCTTTTACAAATAGTTTTATATTTATCCAACAAGATATAATCCAGAGTGAAATGTATGATATTTGCATGAGTAGCCTTGATCCATTGCAGAAAATAAAAAGGATTTAGTCAGAAGAAAGACTTGCACATTTCTCATATTAATATGCAGATCTAACCTAAGAGGCAAATAATTCAAGAGCATTACTGTAGTCATCATTATAATGGACAATACTGCATGGTCATTAATGGCTTACAAGCAGTAGGTTTTTTGATAATCCACAAACTCCTCTGGTCTCCTTAATACTCAGGCTTTTCCTCCCCCATTTCCAGAGATAATGCTAACATGCAGATGATTTTTCTTGACTGTCGATTCACAGTTATTCATCACAAAGTCCCCCCATCCACCCCCCCCTTGCTTTCATTATTCTACTGCATTACTCCAGATACTCAGCTCCGGCTCAGCTTATGCCTAATCTGAAGTTCTCTGCATGTACTGGGGTGGGGAAACGTTTTCATTTCAACAACCAATCACTGGCAATAAGGTATGGGTAACAGCTGTCCTGATGTTTTCAACTCCAAGAATCTACTTCCATTGCTTCTAGAGTAGTTTTTAAATCATTCTCAGAATGTGTATGCTGAAAACATAGCAGACTGCAGTTGGCCCATTACAAGTGACAGTAAGTGGTGTGAATTTCCAAGCAGGTGGAGTTATTTTCATGACATTTTTTTACTCTTTTTAATCTCTACCTACAAGAGGCCCAGATTCACCTTCAGTGGTGAGGTTTCCAAGCACTGTGACAGTACTCTGAACAGATCCCTAAAGCAAGTCTGACATTATGCAATATCTTCACATATGCAGGCTTATTGCCAGACATAGCTTAAGAAATACATCTACAATTTTATCAGGTAAAACTGAGCCAGTTTAAATCTGGCGCCCAAAGGCATTTCTTCTAAGCCCAGACAAAGCTACTCAACAGCTCTCTGCCATGGTTTCCCTGCGGGATGGTCTGCCATGGCTGGCAAGCAAACCCTTTCCTTCATGGCCCCTGGAAAACCTCTTTTCTGCCTCATCAAAACTCTGCTGTCTCTGCAAATCCTTGTTGCTTTTTTTTTTTTTTTTTTTTTAAGCAAAACAAACAAACAAAAAAAAACATGGAGTGATATCTTTAAATGTCTGAGGCTCTATTACAAAATTCTTCAACACCAAACTGAGACAATATGGGAGACTTTCATTAGTGTGTCATTTTCATTTCAGAGTGCTGATCAAAACAAAATGGTCATTTTTTCATTTTACAGTAGAAGAAACAGGACAGAGTGAGTTACATAAATGTAATAATCTTGTAGCATGAAATTAAAGTTTCAGAGTTTCAGAGGCTAATTCGCACTTTGCAAGTAATTTTCTAAACAGATAGTTAGGGAATGAAAATGCTAAAGGTTACATTTAAGTTTTCAGGAATAATTTTTAGTACACAGTAATGTTCTGCAAATATTTTGGTATTACAAACAGCTTCCCTTCTTCTTTGTTTACTCCTCTTTTAAAAGTATTGCTATAAAAAGTAAAAACAGACTTACAACATTCTCTCAACAGTAGCATCATGATACATTGGAAGCTATAACTGACCATAGTAATTTTACTGGGGAAGAGTATACAACAGCTGTGATCACAATAGTAATTTTTTATTTTGTTTTATGCATTGATAAGTAAGAGCAAAATATTCTGGTCTGTGTCTGTGAAACTGAAGTAAGCAATATAGGAGTACTGCATATTTTCAGTTAAATAGGTGTATGAGGTCTTTATTAGATCTACAACGATTATGGAGTTGCAGAACACATGGTAAACACAGTGACCATGGAACAAAACCCAGAAAGAGAATCAGTGTTTTTGTTAGCTGAACAGCAAAGACTCCATATAAATAGACACTCATGAAGACTGAAATCACCTCTACACTCCCTCGTGAACACTGCATGTAGTGGCTGATACACAGCAGCAGGATGAGTTGGGTAAGTTTGTATCACTGTGCATAATACTACAAAGTCAGGTTGCCGGAGAAATTCATTAAAAAAATAAAATAAAATAAAATAAAATAAAAGCAAACAGTTATTTTTACAGACATATAAAGACAAATGGAGAAAGCAAGGGAAAAATAATTGTCAAGAGAATATTTGTTGTTAAAATATTCTGCTTTCACTGTGATATTGAAATTTCTTTCCAGCCTGCATCCCTACAATAAAAGTGCTTTCTTACAAGAAACCAAGTATTAATTCATACCTTTTTCTGCCTTGCTGGTATTATGTTTTTCAAGTAGGAGGTAACGAGGACTTTCAGGAAGAAAAGGCAGAATCACAACTTGTACCAATGAAGGAACGATGATCACTCCAAATAAGTAAGGCCACCGAGATTCCTGTAAACAGGAACAAAGATGGTAGTCATTAATATTCTCCTGTATTGACACTAGAAACACGAATAGCTACAATGGAAATGCTGTAACTTTTCATCATTTGACATAGCGTGCCAATGAGCAGAGTAATGTCTTCTTCCTGAGATCAGTAAGCAGTCTGAACACTTTTCCGTCAGATCCCCTTACTCAAGGGCCGAGGAAGTCAGAATTTAATTCCTCAACTTATAGAAACAGAAAAAGAGAAAGGGGAGCTGGAAAACATACTTTTCCTTTCCTTCAGCATCAACAACCATACACACAAAAATCTTGATATACACTCAAATATATATTCTACAAGTCGTCCTCATTCACAATAATATCCCAAATTTTCTTAAATAAATTGTACAGCAGTATCTTCATATAGTTACATATAGCTGTCTCTTACTCTAATCTGTTTGTTTTTTTTTTTAAAAAAAAAAGAAAAAAGAAAAAAAAGTGGCATTGTTCTCTTTGAAATCAAATGAAACAAAGTTGTTAGCAACCTCAAATGTACTAATTATTTAAAACTAGCTTTAGAGGGCCATCTGTGGAAAACCATTTCAGTAAAAGGCTGGGAAAGGCTTTAAAGAGAGCATATCTAGCTCTCTGGGTTTACTCCAAAAAGAAAATACTAACAAGTAGCTGGAGAAGAAAGGTGCCTGTAGTATTATTTTCTCAACAATATGGCCCTTTATCTGTCCATGTTCTTAAGATACCTTCTGTTTCAATTGTCTAATGCCAAGACTCATTTTCTATAGTAGTTTTCTCATTAAAGGTCATCATTCATCTATTTAATTCAATTTTTTTTCTAATTTGAGACTTGGTTCTTAATTGAAAAGCCTGGTGAGACTTCAGTGGGCCCACTGCTCAGCCATAATGTCTAGCACATTTTCAAAAACTTGGCTAGATCAAAAGCAGATTGCATTGCATCCTGTCTGATTGAACTTTGAAAGGCACTAGAGCTTTGGATCCAGTTTCTCCCTCAGAATGAATCTATCCATCCAGAGCCCACATTCCCCTATACAGAACTCAATAAATTTTATTTCAACATAATTTTTCACAGTCATATCAAAGTTCAAAAGGCCCCTAAACTGTTGACAGTTTTTATTTTATGTTCTCTCACTTCTGTGATCCAACTGCACTGCACGCTAGAGGATGTAAACTGTGCTCAGATTCTGAACTGGGACATGAGCTCATTTAATAACTCCCAGGCAGAATAAGAGGGGAAAACTCCCCTTGTGGTTTTGTTTTTTGTTGTTTTTAAGAAAAACAAAACAAAAAAACAGAGATAGCAAAACAGTTTGAGAATGGGATTTTTCAAAAAATTCAAATCTCAATGTTATCAGTCTTCCTCAGAGCCTTTGTTACCATGAGGACTTCAAGAACCTCTTCCTTAACTTCCTTAACTTTTTTTTTTTTTTTAATTCAGGTAATTGAAGAAATTTACCTAGTATAGGAGCATTAAGACTGGTTAATAGTCTGTTTATGAATGAAAAATCACCAGTCTTATTTTAAAAAATTGAAATATAAACTTAGGTTAAGACTTTAAGAATAACTAATAAATTGCATGTACAAAACAGGAAACTGATTGTAAAGAAACTTAAGAAAACAGGCAGTCTGATCAGTTGTATTCTGTATCTGCCTGGAAACATTTATTTTATACAAAACAGTGGATTTTCTTTTACAACTTTATGTAATCTCTCATGATTACTTCCTATAATAGAAATACTCTTTCTACATATCATACAAAAAGTTTACAAGGCTTAATAAAGTTTAGAAGGCTTTCACAGTACTTCTAGAAAAAAAAAAAATACAGGAAATATGATGTGCTGATTGAGAGTAGTTTTTGTCCACAATACCAAGGATTCTTTAAGTTAAAACAAACAAACAAACAAAAAAACCCTCTACTGTATATTGCTATGATTAAAATTCTGTCATCCTTTTGGGACTTAATTTGGATTAATCTTTCAACCTTTTTAAAGTCTCACATAGTGCATGCTTTTTCAGTTCAGTTTTCTTTCAAGTAACACTTCAGAAAATGTTATTTTGAAAAAGCTATGAATGAGACTAAACTTCTGAACTTACCGTTCACAATAATTAAGACCTTGACAGAATAATAAGGCATTTATTTTCACTACATAAAACACTGACCTTCCTTTATTTCCTCTATGAAAGATTTTATATTTACTTTTTATTATGCTAACTCATAAAAAAATTAAGGTAAAGCAATCAGAAATATACTTCTACACTTCTATACATTCTACAAGGAAATTTGAGCATTTCTGAACTTGTAATTGAATCAAATTCATACATTTGTGATAAAACTGCTGTTTTGCCCTTTAGATAAGGGGCAAAAATTTCATTTTGATAGGAAAGTTAAGAAATTTATTTCATTTTTAACAGTGTGCATATTACAGAAACAGCAACAACAAACATTGATAAATCACTGAGTTTAGTGGAAATGTTTCCATCCATTTGGAATGGGTTCTACTTGCTTTTCTCTTAATTAACATTATCCATATTCAGATTCTTCATCCCTATACAGAAAAGAAATATCAGGACTAAACTGAGTTTAAAAAGATACATAAAAGAGCTACACTTGTTGGTCTGAAAGTATAAAGTACACATTGATGAAGATCAAGCAGAATTAGACCCTATAAAAAGAATTAAAGGAAGCAGAGAAAAGTAGGGTACCCTAACCTTTTTAAGGATTACTAGAACCTGAACAAACAGGGACAATGTTCAGAAAATTAATAAGGTGAAGAGAAAAGACATTTTAGGCATCATTTAGAAAACACTGTAACATTTTGCCTCAGCTGTCAGTAAGGACAATAACACAGACATTACTGAGAGAAATGAAAACAACACGTTTTATCTCAGGAAAAAATGAGAAAAGCAATAAATATTTTAATTACAGAGGACTTGACTCATCACCTGCTTAGAACTTGTACAAATAACTTGTCAAGATTGTAAGATTTTAAACTGTCACATTGTGAATATTTGCTTAGGCTGGAGCATGAAAAACCCAGCTTTGATCTATTTACAAAAGACAGCTAAATAGCAGAGCAAGTTTGACATCCACAGACTCATTCAAAGTTTGATATAATAAAGTGCAAAGCTGTAGAAACACATGGTGGGAAAAAAAAAATAGATAAAAAACATGACACAGGTTTATCAATTAGACAAGATTAACTGTTATCAGAATACAGTAAAGCAAATGTTATTGTCAGAAAATTACTAATTAAAAAGTAGAAAATTAAACATATTGTAACAATTAAAACGTGGAAAATAAACTGGCATGGGGAAAGTAATGATGGTTACTGCTGACAGGTGAACTAATGAACTATATGGACTTTAATGACCTATTTAAGCTCTGGCTACATTTAAAATTTTTGTTGATTAGGAAGATTTTATTGATAAAATTTGAAGACACTTTCCACACAGGAAAGGCTAAGAATATACATATACATATACATATAAAATTTAAAAAGATGTTGTCAGGGTCATACAACAGAGGTGAGAAGAAGTGCTGTACTGGCCCACACATGGATACTCATTTTTGGAAAAAAATGATTAGGCCAATTAAGTCTACTAGACAAGATGTATAATAAGAGCAAAAAGACTGAGTTAGGAAATACATGACTGCCACACACTCTACTCTTTGTGTATATATACATATGTATATGTATATATATATACACACACACACACATATATATGTGTGCGTATTATGTGTGTGTGTATATATATACACATAATTTCTTGAAAGCATACCTTTAAAAGAATAACAGCCATGCCACCTCATGGAAATATCAGGGGCTCATTTAGATTACTGCTTGAAACTTTTGGATTAAATTAAAACAATATGTTTAATATAGAAGCATAAATAGTCACTATCCATTTTTCTCATTCAATGCACAGCATGAAATATGATTTCTCCATGAGAAGGTATACAATGTCCATTTACCAGTCACTATTCACAACTCCTCTGAATATTTATTCTAGAATTAATTCCTTTGGGAGTGGGGAATGGGTTATGATGGGTTTACAAAAACAGTTAACACTAGCATCAATAATGATTTTTTGCATAATACTTTTCTTATGAAAAATGACACATTTTCCCCATTTTGTATGTGGAGAACAGCACCTAATACAAGATGGATTCATCTGCTTTTTCATATTCCTAAAAGAATTGGGAACATGTTCACAACTTTATTTTGGCAAAATATAATCACACACATACACACACACGTACAAAGAATTACATCTACTGTAATTTCTAGATGCCCTGAAGCACCTTGCCTCACCTCCTTCTGCAGCCCTAGAATGATGCAGGTCTCTTGGGTTTTGTGTGTTACATCTGCCAGTCCCATGCGGACTTCTAAGGTGTGCTAGGGCATCAAAATGCTTCCGTATAGCGATATGTTCAAGTAATCGAATCTTATCCTCTTTAATAGAGACTCAGTATGAAAACTTCATATTATACCACAAATATTCTGTTTGTCACACAGAAAAATCACATCCCTGCTCCGAACGGGCTGAGTAGACTTACTTGCATGTGCAACACTGAAAATCTTGCACAAGTCTTGCATTTCTTTGTTCATCCATTACTGTTCCACAGAATATACTCCTGATGGTAAAGGACAACCTTACTGGCTTGGGGCCAAGGACTGAAAAAGCATCAAGGTGGAACTAATTTCTTAGCATTAAAATTGTCTTTTCTGCAAGTCAAGGGTATGATGAACATGAGGCAGTTAAGACCAGCTACTTGTGTAACGTGCAAGACAACTAACTGCCTTCCTCTTATTTTCCTGGTGCCACTCCAATCTCGTCTCTACAGCCTCCTCTGCCTGCAGAGGTAGCTAACTTCATCAATCAACACTTGCATCCCTGCTGCATACAACTTGTAACCCCCATTTGTCATAATAAGTTTTAATGACAGAGTTATGAATTGCTTACTTTCTTGTTTAAAACATAGGTAACCC